AGAATATTTTTTTTTGAGCCACAACTTTAGTCATAAATTTTAGAAATTCCTTATAAATTTATATCCTTATTCACAAAAATAAGGTTTATAAAACTTTAACAAGAGTGTGAAAATTTTTATGGATATAATGTGGAAGTTGGTCTGTTTTGGGGTAAGTCTTTTTTTTTAATAGATTATTCGGATCATAAATTTGTTTGAAATATTAATATTACTCTCTTTTTTTAGTCGCATTTAATCATAAGACCTAATAAAAACTTTTAAAATATACCCTTCCAAATATTGGCGAAATTCATAAAATTTCTTAAATGTGATTTAGGTTCATTTTTGCAATTGTTATATTACATACAACGCATTAAGAAAATGACTATACTAAAATGAAAAACGGTGATATGCACTTGCATACAATGAATTAACTCCATCATATAACTGTGTGTTGTTAGACCACTACGCTTAAAATTATTTTAGAAAAAAATTGAAATGCCTGGGGCTCAGTTAAGACTGATCCTGAATACCTACTATTAGTGTTCTATAGTAACGCGTTACAAATACAATTTTTCCAAAAAATCAGGTAATAATCTGGTCGTTGGCAAAAAAAAAATTTCCCGAGGTCAAATCTCAATATTACACCGATTCCGAACTCTAATTGGTCGGGCCATAGATCAAAAATTCAAAAATGGGTTAAAATAGTCTACTTAAATTTTATGATGTAAATTAGAAAAGCACAAAAACAATTCCTAATCGTACCAAATTAGAAAGTTGATAGATAAAAGTTGTATTAACATTAAGAAGATAGGAAAATGGTAACTTATAAATTTCATAAATTTTATATGAAATTTGAATTTTGATTAGGTAATAAATATACATATCGAATTGATCAAATAAAAAGAAAACAATTTATTTAATCTTTTTTCATAGTAAAGATCTTTATACTTAAAAAAAAGGTACAATGGTAACGACGTTACTATTTATACAGGTAATGCAGAATATAACGACCTTATTTTGAGTAACATATGCGAAAAAAGTATTGATATTTATCAATAAACATTATTCATTATACATCAAATGTGATAAAGGAAATAAATTTTGTATAATTTATTTTAAATATTTAAAAATATAAGCACAAATTACAGCAGGTTTTTTTTAATTCAAGACTAAATCATGTGTTTGGACAGATCATATTTTTATCAACAATTCAGTCCGGTCATTTGTGTGTTTTGGTCCAATCCCGACCAAAGACATGACTGGGACCTTCTTGGGCGGCAAGACATATGCCTAGTAACCACATCCAATTTTTCTCATTAAAATAGTGTAATTAAATGATCATTTTACGACTACGTTACATTTAACAAATATAACATAATAATTATTATAAATCCGTGTTAATAATAGCAATGCAATTTACAAGAATAACAAATAGAAAATTAAATTATATTTATAATGAGAAATAGACATAGTTATAGCAATCTTAATTTCTAGTTGTTCTTCTCTCAAAGGAGGCTTAATTAGTTATATATTTTTATTTTATTTGACCGACAATTATATGTGAAAGAAAAAGAAAGATATTTTGTTTCAATCAAGACTTAGTAATTAAAATTATATGGGAAGCGAAGAACCAAGAACAATTCTCATTCCAGAAATTTTTGATTTTAGAAAATAAGATTTTTAAAAAAACTATTCATTCTTTCATTTTTCGTTTTTCTTTTGTTTCCTACTAAAATTTCAATGTTTCTCAAACGAACATAGATTTAAAAAGCTACAAGAAGGGAAAGGTTATAAAATTGATAAAAAAATTTATATATAAAACTATTATAACATACATAAGAACTATATTAAAATATTAAAATAAAATTTAAAACCCATATTAACAAATAATCTGAAATACAAAAATTAATGAAAACTCATTAGAACTTACAGGCCTTCATGGGCTGGGCAAGACGGGTATAGGCCTAATATTATATTATCTAGCGGGCCTGGACTGTGCTTGGGTTTTCAATATTTTCTAATGGGCTTGGGCTTGAAATTTTTTTGAATTAATATGGGCAGAACCCCTAAAAAGTTTTTTACTGCCTGGCTTGCTCAAAAAATTATCGTCCATGAAGGTCTCTGATAGAACCATGGATTGATAAAAAATATCTGCAAATTTCTAAATATTCTGGCACAGATATAAGTATTTTTAAGATCGCTGGATAGCATTTAAAGCTATTTTCCTAGATTCTAAAAAGACCAGGTGCTCATGTCCAAAATTACCAAGTGTTGTAGTGACCAAACGAAGTTAACATTGTTTTGGAAGGAGTATTTATTTCTTTTGCTGTTTAAATTGTATGACTTTTGCATTATATGGTATTATATATATTATTATCAAATGCCGATCATTAAAATTGGGCCACCCACTACCTCCCCCCCCCAAAAAAAAAAAATCTTTTTTTATTACTCCTAGTAACTTGAGATCTACCCATCCTGCATGGGAGCTTCTATTACCCCTCTGAATTAATTATCATATCATTTATTAATGATGATTAATTAATTTTTTTTTAAATGTAATTACACAAATAACTGAATTAATTTTGTAAAATATTAAAAGTTAATTATAAAAATTAGTTTTTTTTAAAAAAACGAAGAGAAGGTCAAGGATAAATCAATTAAATTTTACTATTTTTCATAATCATATCCTATTATAATATTAAACAATTTGGGAGAAGGCCCAAGATGATGTGAAAAAAAGTATGATATGAGAAATCAAATAGTGATGCTCAGAACTGGAAAAAAAGATGGGTAACTGGCATATCCTGGTAAACCTGAAAATCACTATTAAACAGAGATGATATTGTAATTTGGAATTGCTATAATTGGAATTGAATAGGAAAAAATTCATGAAAATATTTTAATTCTAGTGAGACTATTTTGAAAAGTCAAATAGGTTTTAACATTTTTTTTCTATAATAAATCAAGAATTTATCATAGCCAGAATATATAATTAATTAATTAACATTCCTATTATCATCTGGTTTAATAGAATAATAGTTAAAAAACACTAATAAAATTATATATAAATCAGAGACCTGCAGGCCCGGCCCTAAACCCGGCCCGGCCGGGCCGTATTTTAAATTTTTTAAATATACCCGGGCCGGGCCTAAAAAAAATTTTTTAAACATATCCTGGCCGGGCCGGGCCTAATATTGTTAAACCGGGGCCGGGCCTTAATATTTTTTATAAAAATTTTTACATTATGAGTTAATGGTTTTAAGATTATATTATATTATAGTTATGATTAATATAATTTGGGTGATGGTTAACACTACCTAACACCCACAGATCGATCTAATTATTAATTTCCTGCAAATTTATTCAAAGTATTAATATATTTTTTATAATTCATATCTAAATTTTTAGAATATATTTTACCAAAACAATCAAATAAAGGAATATCACTTCTTGAAGTTTGTAATACCTTTCAAAGCGAAAAAGGAGAAATAAAATTGATTTTACTTAATATAAAGCATTTTTTAATTGAAAAATTTGTTTTACACAAGTAACATTTTATTTCTCTTTTTCTCTGTCTCAAATTCAAGCAATTACGTATATAGTCAGGGACAGATCGCAAGATGACGGAAAACTACATAAAAGATTATATTAAATTACAAGAGGCTCAGGAAGTAAATGAAATACCATCGACCAGTCAAATTACGACTGTTGTTAAACAAACTGAATCGTTTTATGACAAATGGGGCGATGGTAATTCTGGTAATATATCAATACCCGATGATGAATATTATAATTACATAAATAAAAAAATAGATGAAACATTTAAGGTGGATAATTTGTTAGAGTGGTGGGCGGCTCATCAAAGCGAATTTCCAATTTTAGCAAAATTGGCAATTCCTGCTTCAAGTGCAAGCTGTGAGCGGAATTTTTCCACTACGAGAATTCTTGAAGAAAGAAGAAGTAATCTTCAACCTGAAAAGGTAGATATGCTTCTCTTTCTTCATGATAATTTGTGAATTTTTAATATCTTTCTTGAGTATAGGGTTTCGTCAATCATGCTTTTTACTTTGCAAACTGTCAAATATTTATTGCATTTATTATATTTACCTTGAGTCATGAAAGTTTTTAATCCAACATTTTTCATTATTTTTTTTTACAATATTATATAATACAATTATCTTCTATTTATATTATATATAAATTATATTAATATTGTGCAATTAGATTATATTTTCAAAATACTATTTATTATACATGCATTTTTTTAAATAGCAATTTATTTTTATTTTATAAATTAAATAGTAAATTAAATACAATATATTATATTCTCAAAATATTTTCCATTTTTATAAATTAAATATTAGTTTTATTATTTTTAAATGCAATATAAAATATAGTATATGGTCAAAATATCCATTTTTATAAATAACAGTTTTATAATTTTTATAAATTCAATAAAATATTCTCAAAATATTAGCTTTTTACATTTATTTTTTAAATAATAAGCGATAATACTCACTGAAAAATATGGTAAAATACCTCTCATAGGTGAATTTTTGTATACACCAGGTCAAATATAATTTTAAAAATTCCGAGCCGGGCCTGAAATTTTTAAATCCAGGTCGGGCCGGGCCATAAAAAATTTTTTTAAAAAATATCCGGGCCAGGCCGGGCCTTAAATTTTTAAATCGGCCAGGCCGTAAAAAATTTTTTTTAAAAATATCCAGGCCGGGCTGGGCCTAAAAAATTTAAAGCCGGGCCGGGCCGTGCAAATGGTACCTTTGCAGGTCTCTGATATAAATATAGTAGTTAAAAAATTTAACCCAGCAATGTGAATAACATATCTCTTTTCAAATATTAAGTACTAATAAATATAGTATATCAATATCCAAATAGGTTATTGAGGAAAAATATAATAATCATTTGCATAATTGTTAATAAATATTGAAACATTATATAAATTGCTGTAAATAATACATTTCTATAAATTATTTACATCTTAATAATAATATTTTTACTATCAATATGAGAACCACGACTATTGCTAAACAAGATCTTTTTGCAGTGCAAAATCCTTTTGTTGAAGGAAATGTTACTTCTAAACTTTTGTATAGAGGCTTTTTTTCAAAACCTGTAACAAATTCCAATCTTGAGTCTCCTTTAATATGTAAGATTATTTTTTTTTAGATTTAAAATTTTCATATAATGTATAAGAAAATGGCTAAAAATAGATAAAGTAATAAATTTATATTTATTTTACCTGGAAAATGTGTATTATCAATATCACTTTTAGCCATATTTAGTCAAATCATATATCTGTAGGAACGAAATTTATGTAAGAATAAGGAAAATTTTGGTGATATCTTCTTAAATAAGAATTAAATCGTGATATCAATTAATAAATAAGCATTATTTTATTTTTAATTTAATCATATGATTTCAAAGAATATATGATTTTCAGAGGACTCTAAACTATGACCAGTTTGCAAATATATATATAATAAATAAATATTTGGATTATCATGAAATTTAATGGAAACCTACTATTATATCCAAAAAATAACCTCAACCCTTGTTCATTACTTATTTAATGAAATCTAACATTTTTTAAAAGTAATAAAAAATAAACAGTATTATTGCTAGGTCCAAAAGTGTTTATATTCTTAAAAAACCCCTTCATTGCCAAGTGTAAAAAGTTAGAGGTTTATAGAAACTTTAAATTAAAATATAAATATCTTAAATTCCATAAAAGTTCTAATTTTGCAGCAATGCATGTCATTGTTTTGCAGAGATATTTGACTATAATTATTAATTTTTATTAATATTTTAAAATTATTTAAAAATTTAATATACTAAAAATGTCTATTCTTAATTTTTATAAATTAAACACCAGTTTTTGAAATATCTTAAAAAGTAAAATATTTTATAAATGTTATTTTTACAAAAATTTTTAATAAGGCCCTTAAAAAGAAGACCAATTGAAATTTATGAGATTTAAATGAGAGGTCTGCAAACAGGGCCGTAGTTACAAGAGGAAGGGGGGGGGAAATGGCCCCCATAAATTTTTCGCCCCCCCCCCCAATTTAAAATTTGTAATATATTATTTTTGTATTTTTAAAAATAAATTTTAAATATTTATTCATAAAACATGTCAAGTTTGTAAATTTCTTTCTATACTGTTTTATTTTAATGAAAACCTTTGGAAGATGTCTAACCATACCCAAGTTCACGTGTCTTTAAAAAAGAAGCGTCTTACTTTCTTTGCCCATATTTTGAGAAACCATAGTAACAATAGCCTCGTTATCCATGCCATTAATTGGTTATACTCCTTTAATGGGAAAACATATTGCAAATATAAGACATTATGGTTTTACAGAGCCTTGAAGGACATAATGGATCTAAACTTAAATTTGAAGCAGGTCCTAAGGCTAAATAAAAACAAAAAATCTATAAAGAAATTACTAAAAATTAAATCGAACTACCTAAACCTCTCATAATTTTTTATTTTTTTTATTTTTTATTTCTGTATTTCAGGTTATTTAATTTCTTCATTTCTCAACTTACCTCCTCACTTTGTCTTTCACCTTTTCTGTGAATTATTTACTTCACTGACATTAGATTTTATTTATCTTAGACTAAATGTAGTAATTTAAATCAGTCCGTCCCATATTTTTAATTATATATATAATGTCTTAGGTGTTGTTGTACTTCTATACATTTCCCTTTATATGAGTTAAGATATATTAATGGCATTGAGAAATAGTTTGTGATTTGCGTTTCTTATGTGGGCTAGAATTAATCTTTGGCTCTTTTTAACTTAGTTCTTGGATATGTTTTGTATTTTTCCATAGTTTTTGAGTTCGAAATGTTTCTGGGGTAGAGGGTATCCTCTTTTGTTTATGAGAAATTTATGTTTATAGTCGTCGATTTCTTTTATTTTATTTTTTTTAATTTGTTTTTTTCTTCCCCAGTTTCTTTGGTTTCTCTAACCCCTCCATAGACTAATATAGGAATAGTGGATGTGCCCTCAGTCTAGAAAATACCGATTTCTCTCTCATTTTCCATACTTTTTGTATACGTTTAAAAGTTTCCACTCGCCTTTGTATTCTAGTTTTTCTTCTTCTCTGCAACTACTTTTATTATTAAGTATATTTCCTAAATACATTGTGACTACTTTTATTCTGTTCTAACTACAAGTTTTTAAAGTGGTTACTTGTTTTTCTTGGGAAAAATAAGGAGGAAAACTGTTTTTTAAAAATTCACTTCAATATTTTTCTTTATTATTGCTAGTTAACTAGATTTTAACGTCTTTAACTTTTTTTTCTTTTTCAAAACATTACATCTAAATTGGAGTCTACATATAATACATTGGTCGTTGCCAGTGTTTCTCTTTTGTTTTTATTTTTATATTTTTATTTATTTAGGAGTGGCAAGAGTTTAGCCTTGTTATACTCCTTTTTACCTTGGAGGTAGGGGATTTTCTTCGTCATTGATTTCGAAACATCCAAACATGTATTAGTGGTTTTCTGGATCTGGAAGATGTTGGGGTCTTCCCTTTTCTGACAACGAAGCTGCATGGTTAACATTATCAATAGCTCTGCTATAATTTACAAATGTAAAGTAGAAGGGGGTTTGTACTTACTTTCTTTGCATGATTATTTTTCTGAATTAATTTTTGGCTCCTGTATTTTTCTTTTCTTGGCCTGTATATACTTATGTGTTGGGGGGGGGGGAGAGATTCGGTGTAGGTGATACACTTGTGGTTTTTTGAGTGAACCAAAAAAAAAATTTCCATGCTACAGGATGTGATGGCTATAGCTCAATAACCCTTTAATTTCTGTGGTCTTAGTTTTTTGGGAAATACTTAGGTATGATTTGTTCCATCCCACTGCAGTAGTTCCGCTCTCCCATATTTTATTGAAAGAGGGCAAATAGGTAGCGATATTGTTATAGGTGCTACTTTTGATTTTTCTGCTGTGATATTATCTAGCCCCGGAGATTTGGTTTTTCTTAGTCTTTGACCACTTGTTATTTCATTTATGGAGAAACCAGTCGACAGGGAGGTGGCGAGGTTTTGTAATTATGTTTGTTGGTAGAGTCTTTCCGTGAGTGATAGACTATCATATAACAATCAAGCCATATTGCCTTTTGTTGATCCTGGCCAATAATTACTTTTCCATTTCCTAAAACTAACGGAGCTGGTTCCTATTTCTGCTTCATAGTTTCTTTTTCTCATATCTTTATCATTATCAAAGACCTTTTTCGCTATATAACCCATCTATAACTCCATAGAGTATTTGTTTCTCTGGAAAAAGAAAAAAAAACCTTTGTTGTGTGGTGTTCGTTGCTGGATAGTCATAAACCTATTACTGACTAGTTTTTGCCTATTTACTGGATTTTTCACCTATTTAAACAATTTGTGGTAAACCCATTAGCTTTTTCTTATTTTCATGAATAAATTCTAATCTCAATTGATATGAACACATTCTCAATTATTGATAGTAATTACCAAGGCTTACATTAGATGTTAAACTTAAAATTAGCCACCACCCACCCTTAAAGTAATTAAATTATTTTTGCAGTTCTTGGTTATAGGCTTTTGTTTTGCCCATTTCTTTTTGTTTATTAGCCTATAGACGTTTAAGCAACAGTTCTCGGACTGTTACGCGTACAAGTACGTGCGGCTTGCCCACAAACGTGTGAAGGGCTCCTCATTTTTCTCCCCTTAATTAACTATCCAGTTTGATGGATTTTGAGGAAAACCTAGCGTAGCTCTGTTGAATCCACAACCAGAGATCGAAAACGCTTTTATCACGTATCACGTATTTTTATCCATAATAAATCATCATTCATATTATCATTTTAATGTGTGTTTGTGTATAACATTATATAGGCGCTCAATCACGTTTAAATTGTACTTATTTCAATGATAATTATTTTATTAATTATGGTTGAATCACAATATTATTATTATAATATAACCAGTTATTTAAAACAGCGGTGAATATTTTAATTATGAAAAAATACTAAGAAAACAACAATTTTGGTAAGCCAAAAAATTAACCGTAATCTTTACTATCGTAAATCAATATTTATTTGATGCTATTTCTTAGCATACAGGAGCTACCTTTTCGTGGGATTGGTTCAACAAAAATTAGGGATGCCACAACTGATGAAAACAAATTTATTCTTCTAATTTATAGCAATGTTTTCATGCACCATTCAAGATCCTGAATTAAATAAAATTATTAAATTTATACCCAAAATGCCCAATATATATTACCTCAGATTCAAAACGAAGTGATATGTATTATGGCAGATAGGGTGCTTGAATATATTTCAGATAAATATAACAAGAGATGCCTTTTATTAGCCTTAAGGCTGATGAGACAAAGATGCCCAAGGTTGTGATAACCTGAACATAATTAACCGTTATATTTTTTCTGGAAAAGTCCAAGAAAATTTTATAGGAAATATTAATTTACAGTTTCTTTCTGCTGAAAGCATTACTAATTGCATTTTATATCAAATTAATAAATTACTAATTCAGCGAATATAATAAGCTAGGCATATGATGGGGTAAACGTTATGTCTGGCCGAAATGTAAGACCCTACTTCAAAAAAAATTAATAAAAAGTTCCTTTTATTCATTGTTACAACCACATGTTGCATCTTGGGGTTCAAAATTGGTATAATAATATTGTTATCATTTATAATTTTTTTTTATTTATACAATACGTTGTATAATTCTTTAGACGCTTCAACGTATCCTATAAATATGTAGGCCATACTCTTAAGAGACTTTTTGACCAGAGGTGAACTGGTCATTTGAAAGCATTTCGCACTTATGAGAATTTTGAGGCTATTGATGAAGTATTATTTTACTAATAGAACTCTTAATTCGGAGATTTTCTCTCATGATTCAGTCGAAGCCTCTGGTCTTTTATCTCAATGCGTTAATATAACGTTATATTAGCCATTATAATTTATGAGATATAATAACAATAGATTCACTAAACTAATATAGTATGTGCTAAAAATTATTTTGATTCCACTATCAATATTAAAAAAATAAAAGAAACGATAATTCTTTTGATTTGATTAGAATTAAGGCTGAAAAACTTATAGCAAAATTTAATCTCACTCCCCAGAAATCATCAAGGTTACGTAAGAAGCCTATAAATTTTCAAGATTTTTTAGTCGAGACCAAATTACAATTTAATTGTGAAAAGGGAATTCTTTAAAAGGAAATTAATTATTGATTACTTTCTGTTAATCGTTTTTTAGATAGATTTACACAAGATGATTATAATCTTCTATCATGTTTTAATACTTTGTTCCTATTTGACCCTGATTAATTTTCGGATAAAATTGCACGATTAGAATCATTATTAAACTTAAATATGGAA